AACAATATTAAAAAAAATGAAAGAAAAAAGAAATATATCTTCAATGCTGGGAGGCAGAGGCAGGCAGATGTCTATGAGTTTGAGGCTAGCCTGGTCTACATAGCGAGTTCCAGGCCAGCTGGGGCTACAGGGCGACCCTGTCTCAAAAATACAAAAGAAAAGAAATACATCTTCTTAGAATTGCTGGGAAAAGAAAAAAAAACAATAAAAATTTGCAATAATCCCATTAAAAACTAAAAGGGCCCTACAGGGCCTTTTCAGCACAGTTCCCTCTGCGGGCTCCCTGATGACCCCTTGTTCCAACTGTCTCATAGGTCACACAAATTCCTGCCGTAGGCCTCAGCCTCAGCCTGGGGAACAGCTCAATGGTGAACCAGAAGCCAAGGAGGCAGAATGACAGATCCATCCAGAGCCCAGCCCTGAAAAAGAATGCAGACTGCCACCCCTCTGGGCATACTGAGTCGGTGGAGGGTCCCACAAGCCACATCACAGGACGAAGTCCTCAGGTCCCCAGAGAAAAAACATACTCTTATACAACAGGCGGTGGGTGACAAGGTATACAGTGGGCCAGGGAGGGAAATACCACCTCTCTCCGACTCAGTCACCAAGAGCCACCAGAGGTGAAAATGAGAAGGGAGCCTCCCTCCCTGCCCACCAGACCCAGGCTGTGATTAGTCCAGAAATGCAAATGTTGGATTTCAGGAAACACTCTTCTGAGAGGGTTGTGGGCAAAGATTTTATGAATTTCACTCACAAACACTGTCAGCCGATTAAGGGATGATCTATCTCACACAACTCAGAAATAACCGCAGAAGGCAAAACTGAAATTAAATAAGCAGAATCCATCTCTTAGCCTAGACAGGGCTCTGTGAGTGAGCACACAGGCCAATGCTGTCTATGTCTCCTGCCCTGCTTAAAGCCTTAAGTTCATACAGGCCCTGTGCCTAGCCTATGTGTCACCACTGTCTGTACCTCAACCTCTGAACCAAATACACTGCCAATGTCCCCTTCTCCAAGGGGAACCCCTTGGGCTCTGCCCAGCCACCTCTACACACTATAATCCTCTAGGCTCTGAGCACCCACTGTAGCGATGAGCCCTCAGTGTCTGGGGGATTAATTAACTCCTTTTTATTTTAACTGTATAAGAGAGAGGTGACACCTGACAGTCTTGTCCTCCTGCTGTCCCACCTTTGGTGGTGGTTGCCACCTCATTCAGGGAGTGAGCAGCGTGGGCTCAGTAAGCTGAAAGTTGTGTCCCCTGTAGGAGATGCTCACAGAGACCTAGCCCACCTCCATTAGTGCTGCTGCCAGCTCCTGTGCTACAGGGAAAACCAGGTATGTCCCTGGGAAGGGAATGCATGAGAGGCAACAGCAGTTGAGCAGGGCACCCAACACCTTGCTTAGGCTAAAAGTCCCCCTTGGGAGGAGCCTGTAAGTCCCCAACCAGGGTCCTGGTCACAGACACTGTGTATACTACAGGGATGTTGCAAGTATCCCTGACTGTCCTGGAATTACTAACCCATCACTACAAACTCCAGATCTAAAGGAAAGCCTGCTGTTAGTGCTAAGGGTCAAGCAGAGGTTCCCCAAACAGATGAGGGTACAATTGAGCTGGTCCTCCCTGCCTTTTCCCAAGTGTTAAGAGAAGAAACAAGATTCACTCTTTTCTCACACACAACACTTAGCACTTCTCACAAATGGTTAACTGTAGAGACCAAGTCTCAATGTCACTCAAGAGGGACCTGAAGGTTGTGTGAGATGCCCCAACGAGCTGCTGGCCAGGCTCATGTGGGACTGGCTTTATCATTAAGGTCAGTAGCTCCAACTTGTACCACAAGGGGCACCAGTGAAGGGTCAAAAGCCCCAGTGTGAAGCAGCCTTCAACAAGCAGACTCAGCCTCCCAGACACTCAGGAGCACCAGAGAGATAGGCCGTCGTACAGCACCCTATAAATGCTACTGTTCACAACCACAAGCCTGGGGCTCAGAGCCACGCTCTTACCTGGAGTCGGGGTACTTGGTGAGCGTGGCCAGGCTGCTGGTATACATGTGGCCGCCAACGTCAATGTGCACAGGTGCATTGGACTTGGTGAGCTGAGCTGGCAGAGGAATCCCCTGGGCAGCCAGGGGAGACACAGGCGACCGGGTGAGAGACAGCCGGGACATATTTCCTCCTTCCTAGAGATGGAAATAAGGGGAAAAACGAAGAGTTTTTAAGTAACCAGGACTGTGTCCTCCCTTTCTTGTGACTGTGATCACAGATCTAATCAGATCACTTTTGCCTGTGCCTGATCACATATTCAGCTGACAAATTATGGCCACCACTGTAATTAAGTGTATTTACATCATTTTCTTCAAAGTACTAGAGGGGGGAAGAAAGATACTTATTAGCAATAAGAAATCAAGAAAAAAATTTTTTTTCAAGGTGTCAGCCTCCAGGGGCATAAAACAAACTGCAAAATTCTAATTAAAGGTCGCGGGCTTATGTGTTAGATGTGAAATATCCCCTGACAAACGAATCACCAATTTGTGAATTGGGATTCAGGGGGTTTTTGCAAGTTTGTCTCAGTAACGAGACACCTCTAAATTAGTGACTTCCTCACCACCTAAGGCGTTGAGTTTTATACGTGTAGTAAATTTCACATCAAATTAAGAGCATTTTTGTTTCAAAAAATACATAATTGTACAGTCAAGTCAACAGTCATCTCCTAAATGCTGGGACTCAGAAGACCTGCAGTCAATGAGCAGACAGACACCCTGGAAAAGGGCAAAAAGGGGGTCACGGTGCTGACCCAGCCCACCCTGAAGCTCACCGCAGTGCCGGTGCTGCCGTGTGCGTGAAGCGAGGACCCACTCGGCCGCTCCTTGCGGTGAGGCATCTAGGCTTCCATCTCTGCCCAGAGTATCTGTGGGAAGCAGAGACGGGGTGGGCACTGGATCTCCCTGAGGTCAATGATACAGTCTGGGACCCCACACATACCAGGCAGCCCTTCCAGATTCCACCCGCCACTCCACACACCGAAGCAGGCCTCTGGGTCATTGCATACTAGACACACACACACACACACACACACACACACACATACACAATCATACACGTGTTTTCTAGGCAGCCCCATGTCTGCTAATTTGGCTAATGACAGTCCTGAAACATATGCTCGCCATTATTGCCCAACAATGTTTCAGAACAAATCTGATTTCCCTGGTATTTTAGGTTAGAGCTGTGTTACCAAGCGTGTCTCCTCTTGCATCAGTGGAGAGAACGTTGTGGAGTGCAGCTCCCCTTCGGTTGGGGAGCCCAGGACCTCCTGCCACCCTGTTAAGATGCAGTTTGCAATAGACTGGGATATAGGGAAGCTTTCTGCAGAAGCCAGGGCACAGGGATGAGGGAGAGTCTCTGGGGAAGTCACCAATCCCCTACAGCTCCCAAAGCAGAGAGAACCTGGTCTTTGTTTGCCTACTCTGCACCTCCCCACTTCTCCACAGACCCCCAGGATGGTGCTGTCTGCGCCTAATGTATTCCAGACCCCCTCAGGATCACACACCCTTGAGGCATCAGAGAGCTGGCCAGACAGTAATCAGCAAATGGGTTTTCTCTGCTCCTTCCCAAAGCTACTAAGGGACTTTTCCTGTGTGCCACAGCCACCTAAAATAAAACTGTCCCTCAGTCCTGAGAAGCCATGCTGGGGGCATTTCACAGGGCCTATGCAGGAGGGCCAGAGAAGGGTAGGTTTTAGGCTTCGGGCTGTCTGAAAACAGAAAGGAAAGGGAGCTTTGCACTATGAACGAACACACACACACACACACACACACACACACACACACACACACTGCCACAAACCTAACCTAGACGTCTCTGACACAGGTTTAACCCTTAAAGAGGAACTAGGAAATCCTGGGCAGTCACAGGATGCTGTTATCTGTCAAACTCTGGTTTCTAAATCTTTGCCTTGAGAATCAAGCCCTACAAATGTAAGGCTCCTCTGCTACGATTTGCTCTGCTCCCAGTGCTCTGGCAAGTTCCCCAATCCGACCTGAAATTGTTTGGGGTGGAGGTGGGGAGCTACTGTCACAGGGGTGGGGGGCATAGAGGGTGGCTGCTTGGTCACCTACTTTGGCCATTCCAGGTAACTTATCTCAAAGAAGTGCTGAGAAACCAAAACAGACCTGAGGGATGGATAGATTATCCAGCCTTGGGAGGCTCTGCTGGGGGGTAAGAGTCAGAAGGGAAGACCTGCTGAGGGTCAACAGAGCTAGAAGGAATTCCCATCAACACTATCTCAGCACCATGTTTTCCCCACAACCAAGGAGAGTGACAAGTAGCATCAAGCACCCATCGCCCAAGCTGCTCCAGCCTGTTCTCCCACAGCAGCCTCTTTCCCAGGGAAAGTACAGCCTGATGTTCACAGCAAGCCAGAAACTCACCATTGGAAGCCCCAGGCGTTATGCCTTGACCCGAATCTCCACGGCTCCCTCCGACAAACGCATCTGTGGTGGATCACGACCCTTCTCCCGAGACCACTTCTAAGGTCAAAGCAGAAAAGTGCATTTGGTAATAGACACAAGTTTACTGCACCAGCACCACCCCGAGATCCAGACCTGGTGGCTGAGGCTCCGCGAAGCCGCCTGTTGCAGGAACCCCAGGGGGCTTGCAAACTGGCCCAGCGTTGACCCGCTTCTCTCCAAACCGTGGCGGGAGTCCCTGGTCCCGCGCCCACCCGCAGCCGAGCCCCGCCCGCCTGAGCAGGGGGAAGTGAGCAGAATGCCACGCTCATTTACACACAAAATGATTTTGTGTCCCATTGTGCTCGCAGTTGTTCAGCTCTCTGGGGGTGATTAAACTGGCTGAGCTGCGGCAGCTTGAGACGATTTCACTAAATCGCTTCTTTGCTAAGCTGTTATTTTAACCATAAAAGGTAAACAGAAGGCGCCTTTTGAGTTCCCTTCAGCTCCATGCCCTGGGTGCCTGCCCAGAGCCACCGTGCCAGGGACAGGACGGTCCAGGGTATGGGCCCGGAGGGAGGCGGGCGGGCCACCTGGTGCGCGCCAGCCGGGCCGCGGAGCCCCGCCGGCCCGGGTGAACTTCGGGCCTGCAGGAGCCGGCTGGGCCGAAGCTCGGGACCCTGCGGGGCGGGGTGGCCAAGGCACCCGAAGCGCCAAGAGAGCAAGGGGTGGGGGTGCGGCAGGGGCGGGGACAAAGTTAAATCAAGAGGCAGACACTCGGAGACCACAGATGGGAAGCTCGCCTAATTAAGGACGTAAAAGCGCTTTTGTTCTCAAAGTTTATTGTTGCCGGGGTTTAAAAAAAATTAATTGAAACTAATGCTGTTATTCACTCGTGCAGTTAAATTCCTCCGTGCACATTTGAGACATGGAGTGAGAACTTGGAGGTTTTATCTTTCTGCAGTCGGGGGCTTCTCCAGGGAGGGCGGAGAGGCGCTGCAGAAGCGCCGGAGTGGGAGAAGGAGGGCGTCCGCGATCAGGTCAGGGGGTACGGATAGGCAGCGGGATCTGGAGATCCGCTCTCTGCGGCCGCCGGTTCCGGGCCCCGCATCCCGCTCCTGGACCACCACCAACGCTCCTGGTACGGGGCTCGTGGGGGTGGGCGTCGGAGGACACACATATGTCCCGTTAGAGACTTTTTTTTCCCTTTCTCTGATTTGGGCGCCAACTGGGTCCTGTGCACCCCGGAACCCCAGCTGCCTGGAGCCGGTTCCGGACTCCGGAAACTCGCAGCCTCTGCAGGGCACTCGACCCCGGTACTGGGACCAGAGTGCAGGGACCTGGACACACAGACAAATACACAGACACACACCCCGCGCGGCAGGAAGCTCGGAGCCGGGCCGACTGGGGAGGGTCCACCCGCGCTCAGGACCAGCCCACGTGGCCCCCCCCTCCCCGCTCGCGCCAGGCCTTTGTGCTGGGCGCCCCCGCGCCGCCAGCCCCGGTGCTCAGCAGAGGCACAAAGCAGCTACCCCCCAGCCCCCAGCCCAGGTCCCGACCCCGGCCGAGTGACTTTCTCGCCGTTGCAGCCACTTTGGGCAAAGAGGGGGCGCGGCGCGATGCGGCGCGGGGGGTCACCCGCGCTTGGGCTTACCTTGGATCCGGCTCGGGCGCAGCCTCCGCCCCCCGCAGCCTCCGGTTGTCGGGCGCCCGGCGCAGCCTCGTCGCCTAATGCTCGATGTGCGCGGGTCGCTCCGGTCTCGTCCTGGAGTTACTTTCTCTCTCT